GAGAAGAGGCCCACCACGCAGGTTCGGTGAAACAACACATCGTTGAGCGGTGCTGCAGCCTCCCCCGAGCACAGGCCCGGCCCCCCCCAGAGCATCAGCCAGACAAGTCGGGCTTGCACCCTCATGCCTTGCTGGATTCTGGGCGCGTCGCGGCAAGGGCAGGAACGGGATGAGGAAAAGGGCTCAATGCTCAGGGTCCACGGGTTGGTTGCGCCTGAGGGGCCGCAGCCCAGCAGGAGGCGAGCAGGGATGGCAGCACGGACAGTGAACCTGCAGAAGGTGAGGGAAAATAGCAGGGGCAGGAAGGGGGGCATCAAGAAAAGAGAGGGAGGAATGGAGATGAGGAGAGACACTTGAGGACGAGAAGGAGGATGAGGAGGAGGGGGAGGAGGAGGACGGTGGAGGGAGGAAAATTGAGGGAGGACGGATCAAGAGGAAGACGAGGTCGTAGGAGGAGGAGGAGGAGGGGGAGGAGGATGAGGAGAAGTAAGAAGTGGTAGTTTTCGACGTCACGATGCCACCTGAGCGTCTGATCGGTCGGCGGCCCCATGCTGTGACTGAATGTACGTCGTGCCCAAATTACCTTTGATGGTAACGTATCCGACGGCCGCGTCAGTCGATGTGCGGACCTTGATTCTGATCACCTGAAAGACATCCTCCAATATCGGGCTATCCAAAAGAAAAACAAACTCGCCAGGTCTCAAGCGCCGCAATACGGTGCTCTCCTTCACGTTCAGCCCGTCCGTCAACGCAACGTTCTTCTCCACCCGATACCGCACGCGCTGCGGCCTCAGGAGGGCCTCCCGTGCTACCCCGTCGTTCGAGCCCGCAAGCTGGCTGAGCCAACCTCAGGACAACGCCAACTATCCACCTGCACGCATCCTGGCCCAGGATAGGTCAGCATCGAACTGGCCATCGCTCGGACGTCCATTCCCTGTGTTTTTTTCGGTTTCGTGCGTGGTTTTTTCGCCACATGATCACGGATGCTCCTCGATGGTCCTCGCCGAACGAAAAAGGCACACGTCCGAGCGATGCCAGGCGAATCGGCAAACTGGATCGAAACGAAATGTGCATCGGATCGAGCTGCATCGGCACGGAATCACCATCGAACCGGATCGGCTGCGCCAGGCACATCGGAACCCGATCGGATCTGACCCGCCAGAATCGGCATCGCATCGCATCGATCGGATCGAAGTGTCCTGGCCAGGCCCATCCAGTCTCAGGATCGGTGCAAGCCAGGCCGGGACAGTCAGCACCCCGCGCCACCTGTGACCGCCTCCTCCGGGAACTCGTCGACGGGATCCTCCCACCGCGGCCTGAGGAAACCCAGGACGTCGTCCCGGCTGAGCACGCCGTTGCCCTCGGCTGGACCCGGATATGCGACGCCCTGACTTTTGTCTCCCTCCTCCACTCCCCCCCTCGTCCTCCTCCTCCTCCTCCTCCTCCTCCTCCTCCTCCTCCTCCTCCTCCTCCTGGAAGCCCCGACTCCTTCCTCCAGGCCTGCCTGTCCTCCCAGACTCGTTGCTCGACACCCCCGAGGCCTGGCAGGGGGCCCCCCGAGGGCCGAAGGCGGCGGGCAGAACTCCCGTCGTGGCTGCTTCTGCTGCGGCGCGAGCACGTCTGGGGAGGAGTTGGAGGAGGGAGGACGACGAGAAGGACAACGAGGACGAGGGACCTCGTTCTCGCCGTCGACCGTGGCGATGAACACGGCGCAGTCGTCGGCGTGAGCCTGCAGCACGTTGGCGACCTTCGTCTGCATGATCTCGCTCTCCTTGCCACCACCGTCCCCCCCTCTTTCTCCTCCTCCTTCTGCTCCCTCTACTCTTCACTGCTCCTCCTCCTCCTCCTCCTCCTCCTCTCCCTCCTCCTGCTCCTCCTCCTCATCCTCCGCCTCCTTCTTCTCCTTCTGCTCCGCCTTCACCTCTTCCCCTTATTCCTCATATTATTATTATTCATTTTGTTATTCTCCTTCCTCCTCCTCCTCCTCGTCCTCCTCCTTTTCCTCCGGGTGGCCCGCCTGCTCGTCGTGGGTGTTCCAGGGTCCCGACCGGGTCGGCAACTATGGGATGCGTCGCTCTCTGAACTGAGGCTGCAAGGAAGGACACGATCGCGGCCTTCCGGCCTGCTGAAATAGGGTGAACGTTCGACCTTTTTAGCTTTCTGGCCGCACGGAGGTGCATACGTGGTGTTGCTGTCGTCGTGCCCTGACAACGCCCGTTTTTGTGTGGACGTTTTCGACCGCGCGACCGAGCTCCCCCCGCTCTGTTTGCGCCTGCTCTCTTGCAGACTTCTGTTTGGGCGGTAATCCTGGCCATCCTCCTCGTCCTCCATCCCTTGAACTTATAAATGAATCCTCCTGTCGCGCCCCTAGGACGTGTCGGTAGGGCGGGCCGCCTCACCATGTACGATCCTGAAACTTGAAATTTGCAACTTCACGGATGGAAGGCGGGTGGTCTTCAAAATGTGGCTCTCGCCTTAGCGCCGCGCACATTGGTTCTAATTGTGCAAGAGCTTCAAGGATGGAGGGCAGACTGTTTTCAAACTGTGGCTCTCGCCTTAGCACCGCGCACATTCCGTTTCAAAATTTGCAGCGAGTTCACTGGTGGAGGGCGGGCGGTTCTCGAGATGTTGCTCTCGCCTGAACGCCGCGCGAATGCGTCTCAACTGCTGCAGCAGTTTCAAGGATGACGGCCCCTTCTTGTTCAACATGTTGCTGCATTTGTTTTGCAAGTTTGCATCAGTTTCAAATATGTGCATGGTCGGTGCCCCAGGAATGGTGTTCCTGCAAGCTTCAGGACTGTCAGAAAGCAGCCGTCGCCTTCATTCGCGGTGTTGGAATCCCAAGATTTGTGTTCTGGCACGGTCCAGGGATGTCAGGACGCAACAGCCACGTCGACTTGCGACGCTGACGTCCCAGGACTGGCGTTTAGGAGCGACAGGGGATTCTCAGACGGCTGTCTTCCAAAGAGCGTTTCCCGCAACGGGAATGATTTCTCGTAGGGCTCGATGACGAGGGAACTTCGGAGGCTGTACTGCCACATCGTTGATGCATGTTGGGTTCGCACTGGTCCTCCTCTGATCCTCCTCTGATCCTCCTCCTCCTCATTCTCCTCCTTTTCCTCCTCCACCTCCTCCTATTCATCCCTGCAACCTGGTTCGACTTCTCAACCACCCGCTTGCGGAACTCGGCGTGCACCGCCGCGGCGGCCTTGAGAGCGGCCAACATCGTTCCGGCGCGGGCCCGTATTTCCCTCGCCGTCCCGCTCTGCAGGAGCCACTCGCGGTGCTCCTGCGACGAGCAAGGTGGAGGCCCCGCCCCCTCCTCCCAAAGAGGGCTCCTCCACATCCTCCTCATTCTCCTCTTCCGTCTCCTCCTCTTTCGTCCTCCCTCCTCCCTCCTGCCTCCTCCTCCGTTCTTCGATATAAGTCACTCCTCCCAATCGCACTCCTGAGCGTTGTCGGTACGGCGAGTCAAGCTTTTAGCCTGAGACTCCCTCACGGACGGAGGGCGGGCGATCTTCAAAATATGATGTCCGCTTTGGCGCCGCGAGCGCTCGTCCTAAACATTAGCAGCAATGTCATGGACAGACAGCGTGCGGTTTTCAAAGTGTGGCTGTCGCCCCAACGCCGCGCAGATTCGTTGAAACACGATCCTGGCGAAGGACCCGACCATCTGCACTTGTGTGTGCCGGGTTGTCGCATCGCTGTCGGTGGAGCTCCATATGGGGCCGCGAACGAATGAAGGGTGTGCCCACATGGGGCGTTAAGCATTGTAAGTTGTTCTGGTGTTTGTTTATCATATGTTCATATGCGCATGTGGCCGTACGTTCGACTACGTGCTTGAACATATGAAATTTATTCGGCACAATGGATGAATGCATGCTAGTGCTCGCGTCAATGAGGTGGCCGGTGCAAACGTTCAAGGCAAAATGTAGCAATTGGTTCAATCAGCGTTCATGAATTGCTCAGCTCGTTGAGAGAAATTGTATGTGCTGTTTTCCGACGATGCTATGCACGCGCTCTATAAAATATTGGCACTGCTTCAAATGTATGATCGTGCTCGAACAATGTTTGGACATCACGCATAGTAGCTTTAAATGGTTAAACGCGGACGGCTGCGAATGTTTCCATACGTGCGTAAATGTGTGACTGGTTTTGTCATGTTCCGTAAGTTGCCCACTGCATTAAACTGTTTTTTCCTTTCCTCTTCTTTTGTCGAAGAGCCATTGACTAATCAACAAGAACACACAAATCTGCTTAACAACTCTCAGAATTACGCAATCTATTTCAAATAACCCCCTGACAACTCAAACCGTATTCAATGTGAAATTAATTCAAAAGAAATTTGCAAGTAGTATTTGTTCATGCACTGATTCGTTGATTTGCGCAACAAACGATGAACGCTTGATCCGTTAGCAAACGATTCGGTACTCCTTTTCTAGTTTCAGAAAAAAGATTGGCAAGAGAAGATGCAGGTACGAGATTAGAAACCGACATCACAGGGAAAGTCTAGAGGTCCTTCTGGCCTCGGTGAAGGAACGCCGCAGCGGCTTGTTTAAAGTTACAGCGTTTTGTTTGGCATGCGCTTTCTAGTTGCATTCCAAGACGTGTGCTGTCAAGTGTTCCAACAGTTTCTTCAGAAATTTGCTCTGCATGTTTTTACAATTTCTTCCAAAGCCTTTGAGATACCTGTCCGGCGTTCGACCACATTTTTTTCGGCTACCTTCTTTTTGGTTGCAACGCAGCGACACCAATATGTTAACATCGGTTGAAACATTGAACGGCAAAATGCTGCCACAGTTCAGAACTTCCGTGTCTAAACTTATTCTCTACCCCCAAATTAAAACGATCATTGTAATCAAATATGCAGTTACTATTTTCTCAGCACGTTGAACAAGGTAGGCAAGCTGTGAACACGTGGAATAAGGTTGCAATTGTAGCATCAAATCCGGATAGCGGAGCAGTCCCAAGCGCGTGAAACGCCTGTGGGGGACACTTGCTTGAAAGCGTGTTTGGAAAACTTGTAAGCTCGAGGAATTAATCTCGCAAGAGCTCCCACGAGAGCTTCTTAGGAGCTTCGGAGAGGCTTCCCGGAAACTAACTGGGAACGAATAGGAAAAAACCTTCGGCACGAGCTGCACATTCCGCCAATCCGCTGCGGCGATGCTTGATCGGCGCCGGAAAACAACTTCCACGCTACATACCCTGCGCTGCTGGCCTCTAATCGAAAACCCTCTTTAACTCGTCAAGGAGCTGTCCGAAAAATTGACATGTCAAGTGAACCTGGACAAACTTAGAACGCACCCGATGTATAAAGACTAGATATATCAAATTCCACTAATGAGTAGTCAAAACAAGAATCAAATACTTAAACCCAACAACGCAATTCATTTAGTACATCGGTACGGGATGCCGGACATGACATCTATGTAACCTAGATGTAATTGTATTGCAATTGTGGAATCGATGGGTGACTGTGTGTAAATATGGCATATAAGCGATGCTCCAACATATGTATATAACATAAACGTATACTTTAATAGTCAATTCACTTTACTTTCGGTATTAGCAATAATAGTTCCCTCGCATCCCAACGATCTCAAAACAAACTTCGAAGGCAAATCCAGAATCTTTCCGTACTAATTCCTTCGGATCGCACGTTATGCATGTTATATCTCTTCTATTCTCGTCCGCAGGATTCATCTTCACTATCGCCGCAGTGTTTTGCAACTTCTATTCAAGTCGGACGCGATTTTGAAGTCGGCGTTCATCGTGTTTTGTGCACCTGAGGAGCAGAAATAATCATCCCGATGTATTTTCACGATATTTGTTTCGGAGATTCGAGTCGAGATCGTGCGTGAAATAGCTGACCCTTGTTTTTACCGTTTCCTCTGCCTCCCATTTCGTTTGCGCCTGCACCTCAGCGGCTCTGGCATTACTGAAATTGAGATTGGTCAGGGTTCCGCATGTGATGTTTAATGAACATTGGGGACCTTTGTCACCACGATTTTGAATTGCATGGCGTCGCGATGCAGTACTTCGCTGTAGTTCCCATTCCTGGTTCGATGTTGTTTGTTTGTGCTTCGTAGAAGCAAAACTATATGTAGCTCGCACAGAGTATTTCCCTGTCGTCGCCAGAAGGTGCAACGACGGACTTGCAGAAGCATTTCTCGCCACACTGCTTGCATTCGGCTTCGTTTGCGATCGCTCCGTCGAGGGTCGTAGCTCCAGAGGGTTTTGTCGGAATCTTTGTTCGGAAAGACATCAACATCTTTTTTGTCCCTCATTGGCGTTCGGATGGGTCTTGGGCTCGAGATCCAAAGAGCAAGATTGATTCGCAAGTCGCACGTTCGCTGGAAAATAGATCGTTGCAGAGATCGTTGATGATTAGTTTTTCCGACGTAATCCCAAATCTGGGAGGGTGCGCCGCTGGATCTCCCCAAGGGGGCGGGGGGGTTAGGGCCCCCCCCCCCCCTACCCGATCCGTCGTCGGAGCCCCCCCCCCCTCCCCCCCTTCCCCGATCCGTCGTCGGAGCCCCCCCCCCCCTCCCCCTTTCCCCGACCCGTCGTCGGGGAACCCCCCCCCCCTCCCCCCCCTTTCGCCACGCCGCCCCCTGACTCCAGAACCCGACCCCCGCCACCCCTACCTCCAGTCCTCACCCTAATCCACGCCCCTAATCCTAACCCCAACCACTAACCCCAGCCCCAAAGAGTACTCACTACTCACTACTCACTACTCACTACTCACTACTGACTACTCGCTTTTCGCTACTCATGTCTCACTACCCCCTACTCACTACTCACGACTCACTACTCACTATCCACTACTCACTACCCACCACCCACTCCTCGCTACTCACTACTCCCTTCTCACTACTCCCTCCTCCCTACATACTACTCCCTACTCCCTACTCCCTACCCACTATTCAACAATACTCACTACTCACTAAGCACTACTCACTACTCCGTACTCACTATTCACTAGTCACTACTCATTACCCACTACCCACTTTCCACTACTCACTACTCACTACTAACTACTCATTGCCCACAAATCACTTCTCACTACCCACTACTCGCTACTCGCTACTCCCTACACAATACTGACTACACAGTACTCAATACTCCCATACTCGCTACTCAATACTGACTACTCACTCCCCGCTACTCACTATTCACTACTCACTACTTACTACTCCCTACTCACTAGTCACTACATAGTCTCTAGTCACTACTCACAACTCACTAGTCACTACCCACGACTCACCAGGCGCTACTCACTACCCGCTCTTCGCTACCCACTTCTTACTACTCACTGATCACTACTCCCTACTCCCTACTCCCTACCCACTACTCACTACTCGCTACTCCCTACTCGTTACTCACAAATCACTACCCACTACTCACTACTGACTACTCTCTACTCACTACTCACTACTCACTACGCCCTACTCGCTCCTCGCTACTCACTACTCGCTACTCCCTACTCGCTACTCACTACTCACCACCCACTGCCACTACTCACTACTCTTTTTTCATCACTACTCACTACTCACTACGCAGTACGTACTACGCAATACTCACTACTCACTACTCACTACTCACTACTCACCACTCGCTACTCACTACTCACTTCACTACTCACTACTCACTGCTCACTACTCACTACTCACTACTCACCACGCACTACGCACTACCCACTACCCACTTCTCACGAATCACTACTCGCCACCCACTACTCACTCTGCAGTGACTCACTACCCACTACTCATTACTCCCTACTCCCTACTCAGTACTCACTACTCGCTACTCGCTACTCACTACTCGCTACTCACTACTCGCCACTCACTACTCACTTATCAGTACGCACTACTCACTATTCACTACGCACTACTACCTGCTCCCTACTTGCTCACTACTCACTACGCACTAACTCACCGGGACCCCCCCTCCTCCCTTAAGCGGGGGAGGGGGGGGGGTCCGGACCCCCCCCCCCCCCTTGAAGGAGGGACGGGGGGGGTTCTGGAACCCTCCCCCCCCCTTAGTGTATTCAGGGAGATCCACTTGCGCACTTTCCAAATCTGGTTCCGCGGGACTGGGGTTCCTGCCGGTCAGACAAATCAGGACGTCCTGTTGGCTCTAGATCCAGATATCTCGTTAGGACCTGACCTTGCTGGCGAACACCGCCACTGGGGCCTTCGGTGGAGCTCTCTACGGGGCCACGAGCCGTGTGAAGGGTGCGCCCAAATGTGGCGGCGCCGCCATGTGGACCCTGCCGCTGGGGCCTTCGGCTGATCTCCCTATGGGGCCACGAAGCGTGCGAAGGGTGCGCCAAAATTGGGCGGCACCGCCATGTGGACCCTGCCCCTGGGGCCCTCGGGGGAGCTCCCCATGGGGCTACCGTGCGATCAGTTTTAAGGGTGCGCCAAAGAAGTGCGGGCCCGCCATGTGGACCGCTGGGGCCTTCGGCTGATCTCTCTATGGGGCCACGCACCGTGCGAGGGGTGCGCCAAAATGGGGCGGCGCCGCCACGTGGACCCTGCCACTGGGGCCCTCTGGGGAGCTCCCTACGGGGCTGCCGTGCGATCCTTTTCAAGGGTGTGCCACAATACTGCGGGCCCGCCATGTGGGAATTACGGCTGGGGCCTTCGGTGGAGCCCCTTACGGGGCCACAAGCCGTGCGAGGGGTGCGCCAAAAAGGCGCGGCGCCGCCATGTGGACCCTGCCACTGGGGCCTTCGGCTGATCTCCTTATGGGGCCACGAACCGTGCGAAGGGTGCGTCACAATGGGGCAGCGCCGCCATGTGGACCCTGCCACAGGGGCCTCCGGCTACGAAGCGCGTGAGGGGTGCGCCAAACTGGGGCGGTTGACCCTGCCGACGGGGCCTTCGGCGCAGCTCCCTGAGGAGGAGGAGGAGGAGGAGGAGGAGGAGGAGGAGGAGGAGGAGGAGGAGTATGGGTACCCTGAGGAGGAGGGGGAGGGGGAGGAGGAGGAGGAGGAGGAGGAGGAGGAGGAGGAGGAGGAGAAGGAACGCGGGGCGCTCTCTTCAAAACGAAGACCCAACACAGCAGGACGGCTGGGAACTGGCAAGATCTTCACGGATGGAGGGCGGGCCGTTCTAAAAAATATGGCCCTCGCATTCGTGCCGCGCGCACTCGTCTAAACAATTCGCAAGAGCTTCGCGGCTGGAGGGAGGGAAGTTTTCGAGACATAGCCCTCGCCTCAAGGCCGCGCGCACTCGTCAAAACAGTTAGCAAGAGCGTCAGGGCTGGAGGGAGGGCCGTTGTTTAAATGTGGCTCTCGCCTTAGCGCCGCGCGCACTCGTCTTAAAGCATAGCCAGATTTCACTGATGGCGGGTCGTGTTCAAAATGTGGCTCTCGCCCCATCGCCGCGCACATTCGTCTTAAAACTTCGGGTTCTTATGGTTGACGTCCCAGGAATTATGTCTCGGCACGATTTAGGATTGCCAAGGCGCAGTCACGATGATTCGCAGTGCCAGGAATCGTGTTCTGGCGCGACTCAGGATCGCTAGGACGCAACAGTAAAGTAGATTCGCGGCGTTGAAGTCCAAGGAATTGTGTTTTGGCACGACTGAGGATTCTCAAGCGGCTGTCTTCCAACGGGGCCTTTCCAGCAGTGAAGATAATGTGAAGAAGGAATTTGGAGGGAAGGGGGGTTCTTATAACATCGTTGATGCGTCTTGGGTTTACACTGGTCCTCCTCCTCCTTCATCGTCCCCCTCCTCCTCCTCCTCCTCCTCCTCCTCCTCCTCCTCCTCCTTCTACCTCCTCCTCCTCCTCCAGCTCCTCCTCCCTCCTCCTCATCTTTCGCCCTCCTCATGGAGCGGAGGGGCTGCTTCTCCTCCTCCCTCCTCCTCCCCCTCCCCCTGCCTCCCCCTCCGCCTCCTCATCCCCCGTCCCCCTCCCCCGTCCCCCTCCTCCCTCGTCCTGCCCCCCCCCCCTCTCAGCAGGAGGGGCTGCTCCTGGTCAGGGTGCGCCTCCAGCGACGGGCTGGCCTGCTTCAGGCACCTCTTCGCCTCCGCCTCCAGGTCCAGCAGCCTCTGGGCGGCCTGCGCCAGGGCCCTCGCCAGCTCCGCCGCCGGGGTGCCCTCGCCCAGCTCGCCCAGGCCCTCCCCCTCGCCCTGCGTGGCGGCGCGCGGAGGGGGGGGGGCGGAGGGGGGCGGGGAGGTGCGACGGGGGGGGGGGGGGGGGGGCGACCTTCCGGGAAGGCGAGGAGGCGGGGGCGGGGACGGGAGGGCTTCTTCAGAGGAGATCGGAGGCCCGCGCAGACTTTGTTTGATCGGCGCTGGGCCCTCCTGGCCGCCCCTGGCGCGCTCCGCGGCGCCGAGGTGGGGGGGTCCAGCGCCGATCCAAAGCATAGCCAGAGTCCAGTACGAGGATGCCTGAGGCGAAACGGACTGGACCACCTCGCAAGCAACATCTGGGAGCCCCGTGTTGCGAGGATGTCCCAGGCGGCGCCCAGACCCCTCCCAAAGCACAATTCGACAACAGATGTGGAATTAAATGATTCGTTTACAATTAAAAGAAACGAACTTGGATCACCTCTCGCTCAGCAGTATCTCAAGCGACACGCGCCGGACCACCTCGCGCGCGGCAGCTCGGAGCCCAGAGTTGCGAGGATGTCTCATGCGAGACGCGCCAGACCACCTCGCTCCCGGCGTCTCGGAGCTCAGAACTGAGAGAATGTCTCAGGCGCAACGCGCCAGACCACCTCTCGAACAGCATCTCGGCTCTCAGAATTTCGAAGACGCCTCAATCGAAACGGCCCAGACCACCTCGCGCGCGGCGTCCCAGAGCCCAACTGTTCGAAGATGTCTCAGGCTAAACGACCAGTCCCGGACAATTCAGAAACGAGTGAGGGAGGATGTCTCAAGCGAAACGGCCCGGACCATCAGATTTGTTGACGATATCTCTGCTCCCCTTTCCCTCGGACGGAGTTAGCTTCTACCGCAACAGCACCCCATTCAGCAAGCTGTTTGGGGAAAATCCGCACAGACTTCCGACGATTCATTTTTGAATCGTTTTGTCTTTCTTTGACGCACTCTGGCAGGCTGCCACGGGGCTTCCGAGCCATCAGCAGCGCGCGAGGGCGGCCCTGGGCAGGAAGCTGCTGTGGGCGAGGAGGAGGAGGGAGCGCGACTCCAAAGCTGCTCACCCGACTCGGCCTCGACCGGTGTGCGAAGCAAAAGGCTGCCGGGCAGGCCGGGAACACCACACGAGCCGACCTGCGACACAGTCAACCCGTATGGTGAGGACGCGCGGTAAGGCTGCAAGGGCCTTGGAAGGCCATCTCGACACGCTTTGCGAGCGGGGCGTGGGCAGCCAAAGCGGTCAAGGATGGACCGAGGAGGGAAGGATGCCAGGGCACCCTTCGGGAAGGTTGCCCATCCTTCCTACGAAATCGAGCCTGTCCTCCTAGACGGGGAATTTTGGGCGAAAGCAAAAAACAAATTCTCACAAACAATCAGACATAGTCAAAAACTCGCTCCCGGACAACAGTCGGGCTGCTGAGAGAAGGAACGACAAAGAAGGAACGAACCCCCTTCTTGCCCTCAGCAGCGCCTGCGTGCACGAGGAGGGCCAGAGGACCAACCTGAGGAACATCGAGCCCCTTCCGACTCCAGACTGCCTCTCATTTCAGCGCCTTGGCCGTATTTTTCTGCCCGTCTCTGAGCATTCCCCCTGTGTGTGTGTGTTACACCGAATTCCCTGGCATTTTACTCTGGGCTGCATGATGCTCGAGCTTCCCTGGGTGCAGTCAGCCAGTCCGCCCTCCCCCTGCAGTCCCTGCGGCTGCCCTGTGAGCTGGCCCGGCCAGCCTGCCTCGCGCCCAGTAGCTAATTAGGCCTGTTTCCGTGCCCCGGACAGCTTCTGTCTCCGCCTGCGCTCTTCGCTCGCGGACGCGACCGAAAAAGTATTCCCCCTGTAGAGGGACAGGCCCGACTTACCCTCCCTGTGCGGGCTGGCTGCAGGCAAACCCGTGGCCGCTGGCGACGCCCTGCCGACCGCCGCGCGCGGGTGCGGCGGCGGCGGCGGCCCGCGCGCCCGTGCCCGGCCCTCCCCCGCGCACTCACGAGGCGCCGCGCACGCGCGAGGCGCCGCTCCGGCGCAGGGCCGCTCGGCGTGGAGAGAAGGCTTTCCAGTTCGGCGCTTCGACGCGGGGCGGAAGGGGACATGCAGCGACCTTTCATCCGATACTTCTGTGCAGTGCCATTGCGGCTGAAGAGCCCCTGGAGGGCGCAAGCTACCTGCGCTTGGCACACAAAACACTTCAGCATCCGAGCAGGTTTGATAGTCCTTTCGATCGGGGGGCGGGGGGCTCTGGCTCTCCACGCAGCCTTCCGCCTCTTCTGGGAGGTCGGCGCTCCGACATGGGGCGGTAGGGGCGGGTAACGCTTTCTTGTTCGGCGCTTCGACAGTGGGGGAGAGGGCGGGGGCTCTGGCTCTGGACCTCTGCTCGGCGCCGTAGCCATTTTGGCTCAAGTTCCAACGCTGCTCCCGACGTTGGAGCTTGTTCGCAGCCAAGGGGGCGGCTCAAGGCCCCCGTGCTTTCAGCTTTCATTTCTGTGCTCGCCCCCAGCGCCTGCCCAGGCTGGGTGAGCACGCGTTCTGGCACGCCACCCACTGTCGGCGCAGTGTCCATGGGCTCGAGAGATGTTCTCTTGGGGCCGAGGAAGCCACTGTGGGCTTGCACGAAGTGCCACCGCTCAGGCAACTGGGCATCTCGCATCAAGTGTGCATGCGGCTCGCCTGCGCCGCCATCGGTTCAGAAGAGTGCGAAAGCCGCCCATGAGCAGGTGGTCGCTGGTGGTGCCAGTAAGGGCTCTCCTCCGAAGGGGCAGTGGAGCTCGGGCAGTCCTCTCGACGCCACGCTCAAGAAGATCTTGGGGCGACTCGAGGGCCTCGAGAAGAAGTCGGCGCCGTACACTTCTTCTGCACCACCCCCGCCGTGGAGGACCGAGGGCGACAGCGCGGGCAGCCTGGCCCCAGCCGACGACCAGAAGGAGGCGAAGGAACGTCTGGCCTACTGGCAGAAGGCCGCGCGGAACTCGGTCCACCAGGAGGATAAGTCGCTGGCAGAGGAGATGGCGGCCAAGATCCACAAGGCCATCAATGACGCCAAGCCGGCACACGTACAGCAGCACAGCATCACCACCAGGCTGGAGCGGGCGCGGTCTACGGCGGCCACGCTCGAGACCAAGCTGGCGACGGTCACGAAGAGGATGCGCGCAAGATGCTCGAGGAGCGCCTCAAGTGCGCCAGGGAGTCCCTGGTGGAGGCGCAGAGGCAGGTCGCGGCCCTCGAGCAAGAGGCCAAGGAGTGCTTTGCCAAGTCCCTGGCCAAGACGGACGGGCCTGTTCTCAAGCTGGAGGAGCAGCAGCTTGGTTCGGCCTCGGTTGAGTTTCGTGAGTGGTTCCGCGCGCAGAAGGGAGACGGACAGGGCTCCAAGCACCTCGGGGTCTTGCTTGGCATGCTCGAGGCCCAAGCGATTGCTGCTCGCAATGGTGCTGCTCCCCCTCCTGCTGTGCCATGTGATGCTGATGACATGGAGATCGATGAGGATGATGAGCAGTCCTTCGCAGAGGCCGCCGAGGCTGTGCGGCAGGCCAAGGAGCGAGCGGCAGCTGCTGAGGGCGATGGAGTCGAGGCAGCACGTGATCTTCTCAGAGAGGCAAGGCGCAAGCTTCAGTCTCAGCTCCAGGCGGCTGCTGCCAAGAGACAGAAACGTGGGTAGTATGGTGTCGGAGTTCCTGGAAGACAAGGTTATTGATACTGAATGGTCTGGCTTGGCGTTTCAAGTTCCAGCATTACGCACGGATTTGACCTTCCAGGATGCGCGTCATGATCCTATGTATGCAGAGGTGTCTCGTTCGACGGCCAGGTCAGGATCGACAGCTGCGTGGACGCGCTCGGCACAATCCCATGTGGGCTCAGCTGAAAAGGCCAAGCGGAACCTTCCCGAATACCCGCATGGTGGAGGTCGGCTTGCGGAGGCTTTCGGGAAGGTCCGATCGGCTGGAGCTGGGGCCCACTCGTCGACAGACCTGGTTGCTGCAGACCCTCCGAGCCCTATGGGTGGCCAAGGCCTTAAATCGGGGGAGCGTCTCAGTGGCCAGGTCGGGGCGTTGCCTGTCTCACGGTATTGTCGGCGAGAAGCAGGGATTGCCGCGCAAGCACCGTCTGCCGCATCTGCTACGTTGCCCGTGCCGTCAGCTTCGGCTCAGCCTTCTGCTGGAGCTTCTCCCTCTGCGAGCCGCACCAGGATCAGGAAGGGCAAGAAAGCCAGGGATAGGAGGAACTGCTGGGTGTTTTTCTCCTGCAATGCCAACACCTGGGCGTCTTGGGAAACCATCCTGGACTGGCGTATGGAGGATGTGAGGGGCCCTCGGCCCCAGTTCTGGGCAGGGCAGGAGACTCGCGTCTTGGAGGCTGCTCAGATTGCTAAGTTCAAAGGCTCGATGAGGTCGAAGGGCCTCAACATCGACTTCTGCCCTGCAGTACCCACAGGAGCTGGTGCATTAGAGACCTCTGCAGGTGTGATGGCTGGAGGCCTGTCGCACATCAACCAGTGTACTGTAGCATTGGAGGGTCTGAAGTCCGTACCTGAAGCACAGGGTCGAGTGATAGCTAGGCATGTTAACGGTGTCGTTCCAGGAGGCTGTGTTTGGCTGTCGGTCTATTTCTACCACTCCCAGGGCGTCAGCGGGGACAACGTGGGCCTCCTGGCGGGGCTTGGTAAGTTTCTTGGGAGCCTCGCGGTTCCTTGGATCCTGGGATGTGATGCCAACATGGGGCCCCAGACCTCGGGATTGGTTTCCTGGTGTACTGAGCTAGGGGCTACCATCGTGGCTCCAACGTCGACAACCTGTGCTGCTGGTAAGGGACAGGTATATGATTACTTTATGTTATCTGCTGGGCTTTGCTCGTGCGTTGAGAAGGTGCAGGTTTGGAATGATGCTCCAGTTTCGCCCCATTCCCCTGTGGAAATAACGCTCGTGGGGGTTTCGCTGAATATTCCCATCCATGTTCGATGTGTTTGTAAACGTTTTCCGACCCAGAAGCCCACGGGATGCGAGAGGGAACCTGTCGAGTACAACTGGTCGTGGCACTCTGGGGACAC